AGAAGGTTCAGAAGAGATGGGTGGAGCAGCGAACGAAACCGCGACAAACCCACGAGAAAGTCTACACCCGACCTTTATGTGAGTCTTTCTTGAAATTTTCAGATCTGTTTTTGTAAAACTCGAAAGAACTGATGGGCGACTTTCTTTTGAAACTTATTTATATCTTGTTATATAATTATGTAAAATTAAAGATTCAAACTTTTTGCGTCAATTGAATATACAGTTGAACCTCACTATAAGTCGAATTTCGAGGGACCATAAAAAAATGTGTCTTAGGATGTTTTGAGTTAGGGAAACAAGCATTTTTTTCACAAGGAAACGGAAAAAAATTTTGGGAACTTGACCCCATGAAGAACATTGAAGTTCGCTTGGAGAAGCCGAAGTAAAAATGGATGTCTCATAAGTGTGCGAGGCAAATAAGTGAAATTTAGAATTTAATACCCTACTTCATTGACAGACACGAACAACGTACGAAAAAGAGAAATAACCTTCGTTCAAATTTTAGTCTTCGTAATTTATTTTTGCTGAATTTTTGGTATCACAGTACTTTGTTTTTATCTGACTGAAAGTCAACGTTCGCGGCCAATTTTAAAGTGCAATAATTTACTGTACTGGGAAACTTATCGCCCTCTCATTTTCACTTCTTGACACTTGTTCAATTTCAGCGAGTAATTTATTGTACTGGCAAACGGAGAATCATAGAATTCCTTTATACTGTATCCTAATTATCATGTGACAAAAATAAAAGTTTGGATTCAAGTCATGAGTTAGTTGAAAAAAATGATGGTTCTCTCTTTTAAAATTGTTACTACAGTTGGGAGGAATTATAAACTGTGGAGGAAGGATCGTCTCAAAATTTTTGATCCCTGAGATTAAATTTTAAGGAAAGGTCATTTTCTCATTTCTTGCGCGTTTCTTGCGTCAAAGCCTTCCATTCTCCTTCAGATTTGGATGAAAGATGAAAGGTAAAACAAAAATTACGAGGTGTGAGTAAGGTGTGATTCTGTTTTCATCTGTCAACAACAGCGGGTGATGAAGACTCGGATTCGAATGAAGTGCCCGCTATCGTCAAACCCAAGAAGGATATTGTCGGTCGTAAAGCATCGCGTGCTCCTCGTCCGACCTGCAGATAACGCCTACTTCTCCTGCTACCCGGCACAGTTTGAAGGTCCTTCGCCTTCTTTTATGAATGCAGCCTGCAGCTACGGCGTCTTCGGCGTACACTTCTTCTTTTACAGCGTGCGCCATCGTTCGACTGTTTTTTCGATTCCTTTTTTTTTAATTGTTGCTATACAGTACATGTACTGTACTTCATTTTGTTTGGGCGCGATTACGGATACTCAATCCAACTGTCCTCAGCTGATGAGGCTGACGATTTACAAGTTTAACTTGCATAGCACCATCATTTGGTAACGCTGCAGTGCTGGTCAACAAACTCAACATACAGCACTCTCCTTCGAATTTCAATGCATTTTTTCATGCGATAAATTCAGCAATCTAAACAGTGCTAAAAATCGAGTTTTGTTATTTGATTTGGCGCCCTGTGATTTATTCTGGCTGTTCATGACATTGAGGAACGACCTCAAAGGGACTGATTTTGAGGACATGGACAGATTCATTTCCGCCATTAAAGAGCAGCTTAATCAACTAGCAGAACTTGATTTTGGCACTGTTTTGATGATGGGATTTATCGCATAAAAATCAAGCATTGAAATCGGCGAAGAGTATGTTGAACAGCACTGAAGTGTTGCCAACGGATGGGACTGTGCGAGGCAAAATTTTCTTTTAATTTTTGAAACTCCGTGTGATCTATTTCAAAAAGTCTCTCGAAACTTGATATGCTGCTTAATGTGTTTTATGACGGAGAAGGTCACAAGAAATTATTTTCGAATGTGATGTTTGATCACCGTATTTCAGTACACTGTACATATAAATCTCTTTACAACAAATACCGCAACATTAAAATGTATTTTTAATGTAACAAACTATTTTTCGAGTCTTTGCGGAAAACCCATAGATTACATATTAAAACGGTCTCGTAACAAACTTGCAGTATAATTACTTTTTTACGTTTAACAGATTCCCCGGGTATAAATTTCCTGACTGAGGCAGGCACAGTCTGAAATTTCCAATCCCAGATGTGACTGACTGGTTCTTGTAGCACATAGCTGGAATTTGTAATCAATGAAAAACATGCTTTCCAAACAAAATCCTCACGCAATGAAGAGATTGATGCAAATGATTGAATGCATGATGGAAGCTAATTGTTTTCCAGACGAGCTCTTGGTTTTTTCAAACCATAATACTGTACAAGATCGGAGAATGTCAGAAGAGCAAAATCTAATTTATTATGGGCAGATCTTATGTGAGAATTTTTTCCAGTCATTAATTTTGAAAATCTTGTTATAAGAAATTACATTCAGTATGACAAACTTTTTTGTGGAGTCGTTAAAAATTTGTTATACAATAGTGATATTTTACTGTAATCAAGTTTTTATGGATTCTCCAGAAGTTTGTTCTGATAAAATTTTACTGTATTGCGTTTCTACAGCGGCTGATGAAAGCTCGAAAATCGCTGAGGCGAAAAGACCGTCAAGGATCAAGAAGAGTCCAGTTGTTCGAAGGGCCCTTCGAGTTCCTCGCCGTTGGTCAGCAGATGAAGACGATGAGCCGAGTTCAACATCTGATAAACCAGTCACCAAAAAGACCACATGGTCGAACTGATACTTACTAAGATGCTCAACGTCACTAGTCCTTCTGTGGTAGCAGCTTGGACCATGTAATAAGGCTTGACTCACAAAAATACTTAAATTGTTGGACTACACTTGGAAATAAAAAGGAGTGAAGACCCAAAAAAAAAACTTCCTGAGTTCTGTATTTCCCGAATCCAAAAAATCTGAGCTGTCGTTTTGTATTTGTTCTGGTGTAGAATTTGTGTGAGGCATGAAAGTTGCAGAGCAAATGTTTGTTCAGGCGAAAATGGGGAAAGCATAATCTGCAGTCCCATTAAGTTGCAGAATCGGGGAATTTCATGCAATGCTAAAACCAAGCAAATTTTTATTATTTGTCAAACCAACTAGTCAAGTTATACTCCTTTGGTGGGGCGATTTAAAAGTCTGTGCTTCAAATATCCCAAAAAACCTTCTATAATCTAACGTTAAAAAACCTATCTAAAATATCCAACGGAACTAGCAAATGAACTTAAGACCTATCACCTAATGCTAAAGAAAACAGTCCCCTCTGCTGGAAGTTTGTTGAAAAAAATTGTATTGTCTTTCTCTTATTGAAGTTGTGGATGGTCAAGCGGCCGATGAACAACTTATTCCAGCACAACCTATTCCAAGCGATGAATTTCCAGCGACAAGTACAGTCACGCAAGACGATGCGTGCATCAGAGCCTCGAGCAATCTGGATTCAAGTCAAGAAAGGGCAGCTGATGAAGACGTCGTGCCAGCTTCTCCAAAAGTCGTTGTGCAGAAAATGCGTCTGCGGAATTCGCAGGTTATTGGCAACGTGGAAACGTCGGTTTCTCGTGTGCCTGAGACTGCCCTTAGCCTCGGGAACTTACGTCAGTTACGACCTTCGCTTAGACCTTCTCTTTAACTCCAACAATAGGGCTAAAGGCACTACCTAAGACCAGTTGGAAACCCACTCAAAAGCAACGTGGTTCGACAGAGAAAAAAATTGATTCCTTTTTCTATTTAAATTTTCGAAATTCGAGTGACCAGGAAAAAAAGAAATCGAGTTGGGGAAAGAAGCATTTGAGGGGGGGGGGGAGAGAAGAAAGAATTGAAGGACATTGTAATTATTGATATTCTAGGTCTTAAAATGCTTATTAAATGAGTTGACAGGATGCTGGACTTGGAGGCATGGGTTTATTTGCCCAGTTATTCCTTCACTTTCTTGAAAAATGCATCAAGATACATTTTGTTTTTGTGTCAATAAAATAATAGCCAAAGGCCTCCAAAAGATATTTCTTATGGACGTTTTAGACTCTTTAGAGGGAATATCTGTACAAATCATTTTCAAGGCATTGTTTTGAATGGGAATTTAGAGAGGAACTTGAACAAATAAGTTTGAATGGAGGTACAGTACTGTATTTGAGTTGTCAAGGTTCAATGTCGCTCTATTTGATCATGATTCATTTGTTTTTTTAAATTTTGTGGTGATATTGTTATATGAGTACTGCATGAACAGCACTTCTCAGTGTTGAGGTTCTCTCAATCTTTCAACGTTTTGTCATGCTAATAAGTTGCGCTTAATGAACAAGTCCACTCAACATTCCGTTGCCACCCGGAAAATACCTTTCTAAACATTTCCGTTTCTTTTGTTGTGTGTTGCAACAAAGTATGTTGGCAGCAATTTGGATCATTTGCTATGTGCATTCCATGACCTTGTTTGTCCAAACTTATGAATCTACCATGAAAGCTTTTCTGCATTGCTTTGCTCCTCAATTGTAGAAATATTTTTTGGAAAGAGAAATACTTCAACATTTTCTCAAAGTATTTTTTGTACTTCTTCAAAGGACACAGAAAGCAATTTAAACCTTTGAGATCCAAGGTCTACTTGAATAAGGTTTTACAGACCAAAATGTGTTAATGAAGCTGAAATGGCTTATTGGTGATTGAAGTTTCATGATCTATATTTGTTCTCACCGATTTGAGACTGCAATTTTCTTGTGTTGGAGGGACAGATCAAAGCACTGACATGATGAAATAAATTGTCAATGTGTTCCGTCCTGAAAATTATGTTTGATTATCTCCAAAAGAAGATACAGTATATTGAACGATTTTTCGTGTTTAGAGCCTCTTCCGGATACTGACCATCAAGTCGATACTCAGCACAGCTGCATGCTTTGACGCCGTCTTTTATGGGTTCAAAGACAACGACTACTACTGCCACCGCACCTATTTTTGCTTGGACAACAACACCCAACACTACTTTACCTTTAGCAAAGCCCCCATGCTCTCCAGGAGAAAACCCCTGCGCGTGAATCGACACCCGCTACTGCTATCAATGGAGCTGTCGCTGAAATTCGTCGTCTCGTCAGAACAAGTTGGTTATCAAAACTTTCAATTCTGGTTTATCATTGAGACTTGATATTTTTTTGTTGCTCAAGGTACCCCATTGAGAAGTGCTGAACCTGATGGGACTCTTCCGAATTTTGGAACCATTCGTGGATTGAGTGAGTAATAATTCAAGAACGAAAGCATTTTTCGTATAGTCAAGACGAATTTTGGAAATTGAAGGCTGAAGTTTGGGAATTGTGAAAGAGGAAAAAAAGAAGCCTTTTTTCTCTATAAAGAAGCAGTATTGAATTGAGACGACTCTTTGGAATGGAAAGTGTACACTTCCATGTCTTCTTGAGAGAGATGTCGAAAAGTGTTGTGAATCGTTCACAGTTCAGTCGAACTCCGAGAAAAACACCCAAAAATTCGACTCGAAAGGTTTTCAAACTAGGGAAACTATCATTTTTGCTGTGGTGGGAATGAAGAATTTAAAATGTTGAAATTCGGCATCTTGGTGTTGAACTACTGGGCAAATGAGTGATTACTTGAAAGCAAGGGTTTCTCGGCCCAATCTATCTCTCAATTCATTTTGAAAAGCATTAAGTTACAGTTTCACTTATTTCTCCTTTTCTTGAGTCCGCAGAATAATTGCTCAAATGCCTCCAGAAATTCGAGTTTCGCAGATTTTAAAGGGAAAAGTCTTTGAGTTAAGAAGATCTATAATAAACTGCAGAACTTCTTGCTGATCTCGTGATATTTCGCGGTGAACTTTCTTATTCTCAATCGTTGCTAAAAGCATTTCTGAGAGTAGAAAGTCTCCTTTTTTTTTTAAATCGGAACTTGGTTTTTAGATCTGGGACATTATTGCAGTGAAAATTCTTGAAATACGGTATCTGAAGTGTTTGATGGATCGTTTCGATTGCTGAAACTATTGGAAAAAAACTACAGTCTACTGTACATACTTTTATTCAATCATGGGTTATTGCCCTTTAAGGTTCAAACTTCAACGTGGTTGAAGAAAGAAATGCGGAAGGTCGTCTAAAAAATTAAGGAAATTATTCAGGAAGAATCGCATCCATCTATGTAATGCACGATACTCCAATGAATAAATTACAGTAAAATGCTGACTCAGATATGAACGCACTCCAGCGTAATTATCAATTCTGCTCACTTTGATTGAGGTTTTGAAGCCTTCTTGAGATCATGAAAAGCTATGCTGGGGATTTTTTTAGATTTGTTGGATATGTGATTTTTCTTCCAACATTTTCAGGTTCTCAATCGCAAGAGGCTTCCGAAATTCTCTTCGCCCCGGCCAATGATGTGGAGTTGCCAACTTCTACAGAAGCTGGTGAGATGCAAGAACGGGTTTTTACTTCTTTCCACGACCCACCAACATTTCTTGTCGCCTTTTGTCAGCACAAATTGTTGACTCATCAGGAAAAAAGGGTTTATGCAATAAAATTGAATCAATTTAGCTTTTGTTTGAGGCAACAAGAAAGGTTGTTTCCCGTTATACCTGTACTGTAATTATATTGCGGCATCAAATCTGTGAAGAAAAAGCAATACGCTTTGAAAAGTACTCGGGACGTGGAATATATATTCCACATAAATGTAATACTAATGTATGATGAGTCAATTTATAAAGTTACTCATTAAAGTAAAGATTATTCTTCTTGATAGGACAACTATTTTAGACAGTAATCTCGACTTAGTGGGTGAAATATTCGCTGAAATTCGCTGAGAATTGTACAATATATAAAGGAAAAGTGTACATTTATCACGATGATCAGCGCTTTAATAGGGCCTCTTCAAGTTAACCATCTTTTCATTTGAAAATTGAAATCCCGACCTTGTTTCTAGAATTTTAGGTATGAGTTCGCGCGTAAATTGATCAAATTAGCACCGTGTAATTCAACCGAATGGCTTCTGTGACAAGTATATTCCTCAAATTTCTGAGTCGTTTTTTTATCAAGCACTTCGTATTGAGTTATGCTTTGGGATTCAAGTCATTATTTTTTTAATTATTGGCACGAAGCAGTATTATCCGAAGGGAAAGAAAGAACCCGCTGTATTTAAAATTTCTCCATTGCAAAAAAAACCTTGGAAATGAATAGTGTTGAAACGAAAAATTAGACTGTCTCAGTCTTTCTCAGAATTGATTCAGTTAAACGAAATTTAAACTTATTAAGCTGTACATGAAGCCTTCGAAATTCTCTATGTGTTGATAGTTTTTGTGGATTGCTTGAAGTGGGAAGAACCGATAAACTTGACTTTACTTTCCGATGGCTCTCCTGATTTTGTTTTCACGCGTGTTTCTATTCGATCAGTGCATTTTAGTAATAAAAAAAATCGGATACTCCGTTCGATTGTTCAGTGATTTATCAGAATTTTTGCTATTGAATAAGCGACGAGTGTGAGACTTGAAACTTTGCTGCATGTTTTTATTGTAGATGTCGCTCCAACGGTCGAGGCGGAAGAGGTCATGACGACACCTGCAGTTGCTCTCCCCGATGAACAGGCTGCCAGTAATGGTAAAGGAAAATGCTGTCTTGCAATTATTTTTGTTTGTTTGTTTGAGATTGAGATTACAATTGCTGTTTTTCTCAGAAACTGTAGCACTGCAAGAGGTCAACACGCAGTCCCAAAGGCCGCTGCTTCGGACACCTGAGGAATTAAGTTATATTGACCATCTGCTCTCGTCGTTGTGTGATGATGAAGGTGAGGAAATCTTTAACGCTATTTCCTTTTAAATTCTGAGAATTGCAGTGGGCCCTCACTTAATGACGGTAATCCATTCCGTGAGGCGTGTCATAAATAGGACCCATCAAACGGAACCCTATTCCCTTACAGTTGCATTATAAAGCCATTAATCCGTTCTCAAGCATAATTTTTTCAAATTAACTGCAATGCATTGATGTGTGTGAGATTATTCGCTTCACATTTACTCTCAACAATGCAAGAAATGCTGAAGAGTTAGGTTACGATAAGAAAGATGTATAGAAGGGTAATGAGAATGATTTTCACAATTTTGAGCACTTTTCAAGAATTTTCTTCACACTTTCTTCGTATGCTCGTTGATGAGTTCATGCCGTTCGCAATTCTTGCAAAGAAATTATGCTTTTTAAATGTGATGCGAGTTCCTTCATCATTCTCTATGGAACCTTGATCAATGTGTGATCATGGATCAAGACGAATGACGCTGGATTTGCTAAATGCAGTTTTTCGAAATTTCGTTGTTGAAAATCCTCTTGATTTAGGTAACAGTAGATTATTCGATAGAAAAAAAATAGTGAAAATAATAGTATGATTCGTTTGTTTGAGGCATTTTTGAGAAGACCTTTGGAAATGATTCGGTGGATTTGAGGAAAGTGTCATTATTTTCTAAGGTTCCGGAAATATGCAGATGTCCTTGTTACGCGAGTGCTTCGGTTAATGGACTTGATCGTTGATCCGTATAAGCAGTCCATTATCCGAAGAGTATATTTAAGGAGTCATTTCAAACTTTGCCTAGAATGGCTGATCTTTTCGAAGTTTTCTTCCTGTAATTCATTAATCAATCACTCGATGAATATCCTGAAGAAATTCGAATGCCTGATGTTCAAATAATCAAAGAAAACATAATAATGATTTGAGTGTTTAGGAATTCCAAATCATCCATGTGGAGACTTCTTGAATTGTCTTAAATCTTGAGCGTGGTCCGTTATCCAAAAAAAAAAAAAGTATATTTTCTCCATCAATTTTACAACAAAAAATACGTAGTGCGATGCGTCCATTACTTACACTGTATGAGTGAAGTTTAAATTCGATGTCAGAACGTGATTCAGAAGAAAATGGATGCGTCGCATTATTTCCTGCTTCAATTTAATTGAAGTTTGTTCGTTGATGTAAATTGGGAGGGTTGACGTTTCCCAAAGTGGCGTGATGTGTCAATTTTTTAAATTCGCTGAAATGCTTTTTTTTTTTTTTAACTGTTCACAGATTCTTTCACGAGGCACTCACACCGTCCACTGGAATGCGATGCTAACGGCTGGCGGAATATCCGAAGACGAGTCCTACCATCCAAACTTAGAACTTTAAACACTCACTTTTAACCTATTAACGTGCGCTCTCTTTAAAGTCTACAAGAACCCAACGATATATACGTCTTACGGTACAACACTTTTTACAAAATAATTGATGGTGGTTAGAGGGTATTATTTTTAATTAATTTCCCGGCAGAATCAGACTATTTCAATTGATGGTCTCTTATTTTTATGAATTATTGGAGATTCGTGAATTTTGTCAAAACTTAAGTTCACTGTCGGAGTTCCTGTTTTCAAGAATGATCCAAACCACTTTTCCAGTATTGAATTAGTTCTTGCTTAATTTTCAAATATTCTATACTTTCATTTTGAAGGAATTTTATCTTCTCTACTGCTATATTATTGACGTGAAGTATTGTTCGCTTTAAGCAGGCGTTCGTTTATTTCCATCCCAATTGTTGGCGACGAAATTCTGGCGCAGTATTCGAAGAAATTTCTTGATACCTTGAATGTAACTTCACTATCTTTTTTTTCGAGTTAAATCAATCATCGGAAAGGGAGAACATGGGGGTACAATTTTTACAGCTGTCTGATGATCTTTTTCAAAGATTTTTTACGGGGATGAAATAATCGTGGAAACAGGATGGAATTTTAAAATGGCCTCCAGAACATTTCAGTTATGGAGGTTTGAGGAGGGACATCTTGAGTTCGTGAGGTTTTAGTTCATTTTTTTCCGAGGGAATTCAGACAGAGGATTGAAAAAAATGTCGACTGAGGAAGGTTCGAGTTACCGAGAGGTTCAACTTGTTTGTAAAATCCTGTGTCAAACGAGTGAATTTCAGCGTGAAATTGTTAGCAAAATCGCAAAACATATGCTGCTGGTTAAACAGAATGTATTGTTTCTTCGTGGAGAATTTAATTGCTGATTGATTTCGGATATTCGTGCAGATGTTCCCGAGAACGTTGGAAATCTTGGAATGCCTACGCAATATTCAATGGATACTGCTGAAGTTTTGGCCGGTTTAGCTGATGGAGGTATGCAAACCAAGTTTCACAATTTGAGGCGTATCATTATTTTTTTTCTGGATTCCAGTGGCTCATGGACATTTTCTGAATGCATAATTTTGTTTCATATTCGTAGATATCTCCACCATTTTTATGTCACGTGCAATAATTCATTTTATTTTCGTCGCTTTTTTTTCAAGATTCTCGACGTGCAACTCAATTCGGAATTGGAGGATCAACGCAAGAAACGAGGGAATCGAACCGGCCTGTGAGAGAAGTTCGAGCATCTTCGAATATCGTTATCAATCGCGAGTCTTTACCATCATCATCAGGCGTTGGTTTGTCTGCACGTGAACGCCTGAAGCAACGCATAGAATCGATGCCGGAAGAAGAAATACAAATCTTGCTGCATTTGTACGAAACTGACGTAAAACGGAGAAGTTCGTATATTGTATATACTTGGTGGATTTTTGCTTTTTTTTTAAATTGCTCTCTACAATATTGAACAATCGAACGTTCGTAAATGTCGAATAAGTTTGAGGAATGAGCGAAAAAAAGTTCGAGTTTCGGAGGTTTTGAGTTGGGGAAGGAAGAATTTTGGTTGTGAGTATTGCGAGAAATTGTAATTGGTGATATTCTGGGCCTTGCAATTGCTTCTTAACGAATCTAGGACAAATCAAGACAGATACTTTTTGAGACAAGGAAAATTCCAGACTGAAACTTTTTGAGACATGAACAAATTGAGGCAAATAAATTTTGAGAATTAGAGACATTTTGAGACAAAATGTCAACCGCATTCTCTCTATTATCTTATGTTTAAGGTGTAAAAATGAACAAATATTGCACTGGTGAAAGTCTATGATCCCAGGGTGTTTTTTTTTTTTTTTCCATCATTGCTGTAAAGTTACTTTTTCTCATCAAGGAAAAACTCAAATTTTTGAACCAACCTGAGTCGATTCCTCCCTTCAATTAGATAGTTTCTGTCTCAAAATGTCCTTATCTCAAATTTTCCTTGTCTCAAAATGTCCCTGTATCTAATAGGCCCATCTCAAATTTTCTGTTCCCATTTGTCCAGTCTTGAATGGTCTGTCTTGATTTGTCCATATCCCCTTCTGAACTAAGTTGACAGGATGCTGAACCTGGAGGAAAAGGTAATTTTTCTCAAGTGGTCTTCCATATTTTCTTTCAAAACAAATCACAATTCTTTTCAAGTTGCATTTCTCTTTCCTGTGTCGATAAAAATAATACCCAAAAGGTCTCCAGAAACTTTGAGTTTTGGGGGAGAAAACCATTGAGTCAAGGCGGTTTTTCCTGTATTTTTTCTAGGGAAATTCAGAAAAGGACTTTATTTAAAATAAATTTATGCAGAGGGAGGTAGGAGTTATGAAAGTTAAACTGTATCTTCATTCTCTAGTACGGTATTATTTTTTTTTTCATAGAGCGTGATGACCAGGTCACATGTGAAGTGGCCATTCCGGATGAACCTGTTGTCGAGAGTCATCCTAGAAATGACGATGGAGCACCCAGAGAGTCTGTTATTGATATGACTGAGGTTACAAATCCTGTCATGGAAGCTGACACGGATGCACGTATTTGTGCAAATCTTGAAGCAGCCTCTGATTCCTTGAACATGGAGGACTTGTTGGCACGATTGAATCCTGACTTTGTCCCTGAAAGTAAGTGCTGACAACTGCTCAAGTTAGGTGCGCCATCTTATGCGATGTATACATAAGTGTGACGGGCAAATTTAGAACATTTGGTGTAGGTGGTTATATAGTAAATAACATGAAAGTGCCTTCGCAATCAAATATAAATATTGGGTAGCCGTTTTTTTTTCATCTTTTATAAGTATAATACCCGTGATGGAAATTTTAGAAAAATTTTTAGAATTTTTCCGAGATTTTCTCGTTTGAAAAGAGAACGTGCGTTCTACGGAACGATCGTAGAAGAACCAATTACAATGGGTTCCACGAGATGCGGGTTCAAATTACTGTAATTACTTCTCGGGTTATTGAATGTTCAAATTCAATGTACGGCGTTTATTAATTTATTTCTTCTTTTTTCAGGAAATGAAAATGTGGAACGAATCGATCGTCTAGTTCCGTACGAAATGACGGATTCTGAAGACGATGCTCCGGAGTTGAACAATCTCGAAGCTATTCAGCATCCGGAAACTGCGTCCGGCAGTTCGCCGATTTCACAAAAGCCTCATCGTCGCAAACATGAATCGGCGAAAGTTAAAAGAAAAAGAAGTACGAATGTTTTTCCTGTATAGTAATGTAGCATTCACTGTCAAGTATTCATGACACTGTGCACGAATTTCCCTTTTTCTTCTGTGTATATAGAGGGATGCAGAAAGTCTTCAAGCAAGAGTGAGCAGACAGCAGTATCCGTGCAAGAGACAATGGATAGCATTCCTCAGAAGGCATGATGTCGAGTGGATTTTTTACTTGTGTGTTGCGTGTCATGTTTCTTTTCACTTCCCGCTTCATTATGGTCAAACTTTGGATTTAGACGAGGCGTATATCTATGCCTACGATGTCGACTGGAAGACACTTTGTAGCTGGTTCAACTCGGGAGAAAATTATTTGGACGAGTGGTATGATTTTTTTTTTGATTTGCTGGTGTTTTTTTGAGCTTTGGTGTGAGAAGAGATGCTGTACCGGCGTTGTTGAGGGTTTGACTGACTCGTTGGAAGTTCAAAATCGAGGCGCCAAAAAATTACATATTTTTTCTACTTTTGCACAATTTTTTATATGTAGTACTGAATAGACTTTTGGTGAGTCATTATATAGCTTGGTTCTGACAGGCTTAATTTTCAAGAATTTGTAATTCACAACATCGCAGTGTGAAATGTTCGAGACTCGCATGAGCAATGTGAAACTTATTTTTCCCGTCAAGATTCGTTTTAGAATCAATTGGATTTTCCATTTCCTACAGTTTATCGGAGTAGATTATTGTTGCTCTCCTGTATGTCTGAAGTGATCGGGCGACATTGCTCCATGCGATGAGATAACAATCTCAGTCATGGATGCCTTCGCTTGGGTTTCTACTCTTCTGTATTTATGAAATTCTATTTCGTGCCAACATACTTGATCTCGATATTTTTGAATATGAGTTCCGAATATATTTGGTTTCAGACCTTTCTAATCATTTTCAGAATGCTTTTTTTTTCAAGGTATGTGCATGGTAGTAATAATCGAATCCAAAATGTTACTATACAGTATTTCATTTGAGCATTTAATGCTGTAGAATTTGTGCCAATTGCATCTTTCTCCTTTTAAAGTTATTTAAAATGTATTTCTTCTTGTGCAGTGGGGCACAATTAAGATTCCGACAGAATACTCGAAATTTGCCCAATTGTTGGGTCACATTTTTCGATGGACTTCAATGCATCAACAATCACATCTCGCATTATGACAAAAATAATAATTAAAGAAAATCACAGTGCAATACTGTTACAGTTCATGTTCAGCTGATGAAAAAAAAAAGATTATTATACATTAAAACTTTGGAAAATGGATCTTGAGTAGCTTTGTTTTGGCTTTATTCATGCTCCTCCTCAATTTTACAATTCAGAGATCTTAAATTTAAAGACATTACTTTTTTAAATTTTGGCAGCAGACTTTGTGTCCATATTTTGAGTCATGGTCACTATATTGGGCAGATTTTTCGAATTTGATAGTGCCCAGACATCAGGATGTCTGCCTGTGCATGTCATACATATACGAATGTATCTTGTATACAGTACAGTATATAAACCGGAACTTCATTGCTTCCCGCAAACAATTGAAAGAAAGCAATGTTAATCTTAAACAGCATACAGATGTTTTGGAATATCATCCTTGATCCAAAATTTTGATTTAAATCAGATTTTTTCTTATTAATCTTCGCCCGTTCATTATTAGATTCGTCGTATGAATATCGAGAAGTTTTGAAAGAATAAAAGGCCTTGCTCTTCGTCCAAACATCCTACCCTGTTCAAAATCATTCCCTCTTCAAAACAAATTACTTTTCAGTCCCCATCACGGGAGTATACCTTAAATGCTCTGTATATTTCCCTACATGCTCTGATATAAAATGTATTGATCAGGGGTTATTGATGGGAGGTCAAATTGACTTTCGAATAATTTTCGATCACCAAGAAAGAGTCGAGTCATGCAAGGCCAATATATTTCTGTTGTAATCCATTCAACAAAATTGTCTTTATTAAACACAGCTGCTGTTCAACACCATATGCAGTTTTCGGGCGGTTATATATTGAAGTGAAATAAAAAATTTCCCCATATCACTCTCCCCAACCAAATCATGCAGTTCAGCGAGGGAATCCAAAAGCACGGAGGTAAGGGTTATGCTGCTGAGGATGATAAGGTGGCGCGTGATGAAAGGGGCCACGTGCTGGAACCATTTGACTGAAGCCGCCGAATCGCGGCGCCATTGCCATCAGCGCCGCCACCGAGAACGCATTGCGCATCGCCAACACGGGCTGCACCGCGGCCATCGAGGATGACCCACCAAGCCACACAGGGTTGCCCGGGTACAGCTGGTAGTGAGGATAGCTCGGGATCGGCGAATACGGGCATTGTTGTGGAACAAGCCTTTGCGTACATAAAAAAAACATTGTATGACATTTTGATTCCATCCATAAATAAGTTGGCAGTATGACTACATTAAATAGAGACCCCCCCCCATTTATGACACCTAAACAAGTATTAGAGCGTCCACAGTGCAGACCAAAAAACGAAAAAAAAAATGAAAAAACGATTGCAGAAGCAGGATTCGAACCCACGCCTTCAGAGTTACACTGCGACATCACAGCGCCTTAGACAGCTTGGCCATCCTGACAGTTTAATGTTAATTGATGCATTTTCAAGTAGGCAAATTAATTCAATGTGCAAAAGGCCACAGACACATGTTACACCATGTCCTTATTATTCCCCCCCAGACCCCTGTAGGATCCTACTGGTCATTCCTCCCACTGCGGACATTAATTATGAATTTCCATGTACTGTACAGTGAAATCAAGCTACTACTATATACAATACCAAGATTGTCCCAGTTGATCACAGTCTGAGATACTTCTACAGAGGATGTGATTTAATATAAATACAAATTTTTGACATCACCCATGATGCTCCAGAATTTCTAATGATTTACAAATTCCATTTACTACAGGATGAGCAAAAACTTTTCAGTACAACAGCCTGAGTTCTCCATCCATGTCATAGGATGCTAAAATTTGTCAGGACAGCTAAAAAAAAAGTAATTTTTTTACACATTATCTGAAATGTAGAAGAATTAGTAAAAATAGTAATTTTATGTAGATAATAAAAAAACGGTTGCAGATTTAATGGTATATTTACCTTAAGATTATTTCAGTATTGTTTGGCAAAACAAAAAGTGGATAATTTGAATAATGCCTTGAACCATGCTGGCTCTGCTGGGTTCTTTTCCATCACATGGAAGGAAAGAAGAGAGGCATGTTCCTGAGTCCCTAGGAAAGAGGTGGCTGCTCAAGGTTGCCATCTCGATTTTTTTCCTTTCTTTTGGTGCTGGCAGAGTTTTTATGCTTAATTATTATCAGCTTTGCTGATGCAATCTCAGCATATGTACAAATCTTATTTCAAGCGGAAATTCTGCTTTGTTTCCACCTCCAATTTTGAGGAATTGTGCTGCCTTATTTTTTGCCATTTTTTCTGAATAATGCATTGAGTCATGGATTGGACTTCTGGATGCAGGGAAGGTCCTCATTCAGTGAATTTATTTGTTGTTTTTCAAGTGTTTGTTTAAAAAGGCAATAGCATTCATAAATGTTGATAGATTTTATGTTTTCTGACTACAACCTTTAGCACCCTGTAATATGACAAGTACATTATTTAATAGTGAGATAACTCACATTCAATCTGATATTACGCTTCATACATGCTTGCTCTTGATTCTTTAGGCCCCTTTTCATGCCAAAACATCAGATAATGTGGGATTCTCTTCTATACACACAATACTTTCTGATGTATCTTGAAGTTGAGAAAAATTATTCTGTTATTCCACGTGCAGGGCAGGGACTTAATTTTCATCAATATAGAAGCACATATATTAAATATACTCCCAGCATTGAAATCTCAAGGGAAAACGGCATCCAACACCCAGACTTCCAAACATAGGAAAATACAAACAAAAAGCATTTCGCTCACTGCTGTAATGCCAATGAGGAATCTCGAGAAAAAAAAATGAATAGATAATTCACCCAAAGGCAGGAGGCAAAGCCGCCGCACCGGATGAGAAAGCACCAGCACCAGCAAGGGAGCCCCATCGTGGAGGACTCAATCCCTGCAGCTCCCTCCTGATGAACTCTGGTGGCAGTTCCAGCAGGGGTTTCTTCATCAGCACGGCCTCCGCACTCGAGGATCGGGAAGACGAGTCCACACTCATCGTCGGCGCTGACCCGTAACCCGGATGATGACCCGATGCGACGACGAGGTCGAGTTCATCGGTCGCATCACCGTTCAGCGTCCCTGCAGCCGATGGCAACACTATCGCGTCATCATCGTCGTCGTCAGGTTTGACAATAGTATTTGTGGGTGTCGACGACGACGGGGCATCATTCTCTACATCAGCAGCAGCAGCAGACGCAATAATGACCTTCCTGTCGGTGTTTTGTTGATTGAGAACAAAGTCGATCTCGTCGTTGGCGGTGAGCCCGGGGGTCCTTGGAATCACGACGGTGTCCTGGTCTTGCACCAGGTCTCCCTGAACAGTATACGCATTCATTAAATAATAAAATCTCATCACAATGAACCTCTCTATGGGGACCACGAAAACAATTGGTTGTAAAATTGAGATTCCCTTATTGAAATATTGTGGTCCCATAGTGTTTTTTTTTAATTTCAAGGCCAAATAAAAATAACATGTTGTGATATTATCATGACTACTGCTGAAAAATAGCACTTCTCAGTTGACTAAAAAATTTAGATTTGGTTGCACTTGATGCACAACTCTATACTCAGCACTCTGTTATGCTACCTGAAATACCTTTTTAGGCTTTTATTTTTTGCAGGGCAACAAAGTGTGTTGACATAATGATTTATATCGCCACTTCTTTATAGCGAGTTATAATCGCTTCCTTTCAAAAATCATGAATTTTCGACAGGTGGTACCTCGCAATTTGACTGCCCTGCAATTGAATAGTCAAATTAGCAGCGAGGTTGATTTGCAATTCGACCCTTTCCCCCGCAATTTGACCTGCTTTGGCCACTTTTTTCGCGTGTTTTTAGATTGATATTTTTGAATTACACAGTTGTCTTGCAATTTGACTGCTTTGAAATTCAGTCCTATGTTTAGCAATGGATTAGGGTCAAATTGTGAGATACCACCTGAACATTACAGTAAATAACAAACATCCTTGCTCTATAGATGAACAATACAAAAATTCAGGAGAAACCTCGCACAAAAGCGCAGGAAGAAAATATCAAAAATACCCAAAGCAACAGGAATGCCGGAAGTTTTACAGGAGTGTGAATAAAAATCGTTCACAAAATATTATACACAATGGGCTGATTTGAAATCACAGCAGGAAAAGGTGAGATTCACAGCATACATAGCGGAATTTCATTTCGTTGACTATCCGCGAGACGCCGTATCGCTTGGCATACTGGAAAGCCGTGAGACCCTCGTGGCACGCGTTCAATTCGTCCACCCCAACTCCTCTGCACGGCCAGCCATCCCCGGCGACTGGCCCAGTGTACGAAGGTCCGCTGAGCACTGGTCCAGCACTCCTTTTGCTGTTCATATTTGGCACAGAAACAGACATTTCTTCCCGTCAGCAAATAAAATATAATTGTTTCAATTTTACAGTAGAATTCCATTACAACGAATCTCGTTATAACGATTTTTTTTTCTTAAAATGACTTTTTTCTCAGGTCTCCATCAGGAGTTCGTTGTAACAAGATTTGACTGCAGATGCGAATTAGGCATTGAGGCCATGATTTATTGGTGAAAAATCATTATACGTCCCGATGCGCTGTATCATCTTCTTCCAAATCTAACTTTTTCCAACAATGTCTAAAATACATCACTCAATTAAAATTTAGACGATTGTCCCAGTTGGACGCTACCTCTCATACTTTCCGAGTGATATCCACACTAACGCTCTTTTTTTGCCGTACTTTATCGGGTACAAACTTCCAAGTCTTAAGAAAATGAGTTCTTTTTCAAAATTTTAAACCACGTACTACTCACTTTTGAAAGACCAATTTAGGTCAGTTCTCCAGACATGTTATAGGGTACTACAAATGTGTCAAGCCAGCTAACAACTTGCAGTTTCTAATTTTTTTTAACCCTATATGTGAGAGTTTGAGTATCTTGCCTCACGAAAAATTCCTTAATCCTCAGAGAAAAAAATGTTGTAGGCAAACGCGGTTAGAAATTGTACTCCAGGCAAACCATTAAAATTTGGAAGTCTGTTGTAAATACAGTACAAAAATGCTGGTGGAAATTCTACTAATAAAATTATCTTGAGGATGCACAAGTCTGTGCAGTTCCGGCGGAAATTTGATGTAATTTGCCCATCATCTGGGTACCAAACTTTGGAGCACCTGCTCTGTTTTTCCCCTGGCCATAAAAACCGTTTTTCCCTGAGTCTCTGCTCAGCTTTGGTGGCATGGAATTGAACCTGAGAAAAAAACGGTGGGTGGGAGCCCATTGAGACTCCCCACCACCGAGGCATTGACTTTTCCTAAAAACGTTGAATTAGCTGGCAGAATTGGGAGGCGGAAGTTTGTTGTCTTGACTGACAAATTTTGGGGCGCGGAAGTAACTGTGGGCGTCACCCTGGGTTCCTGTATTTAAATCATTGCTGCTCTGATCCAAAAACTCACTTCTCCTCAAAACTTTGTGGGCTGCAGATGGTGTTGTGTTGCTGTATATTTTTGAACGCGATTTTGTGCAAATGCACCCAAGAAAAGTGAAGTGTGGAAATTGTGAAGAGTGGCCTCAATACTCATCTCTTCTTTTAGTACATGTAAGAGGTTTGTCAATAAAGGAGATTTTATTAAAACGTTCATTTCATTTTAAGTTCTCCGGTGTTATAACAAACTAAAACACACTACATACTAAACTTGACACATAAAACATATTTATAATTTCTGTTTTTGTTTATTTTTAGGCAGAAATGGTATTGGTGATTGTTTGATTGCTTGATTGATTGGTTTGGTTGATGATCATTAATGATTGTTGATTGAATTGGTTTTGTATACATGCATTTTGTGCTTGTGAGTAGAAGAAATTAGTGCCAGGTTTGTGGCAATGAAATATTGCACAGTATTTACCTGACCTGTTATCCTTTTACTGAAACCGCAAATTACCGCCTGCTAACTTGAATTTTGAATTGGGACAGGATTTACAATCCTGAAAAGTTCCACCAATTGCCAAGAAAGAAATTTGGAGGCCAGTGGCCAGAAAACATCAGTCCATGGCTTAAAAATAAATATCTTGGAAGCTACCAACACCTTGACAGGTTGACGTACCTTTGCGTCTTTACACCCCTTCAAAGTAGATTGCGAATCTATCACTTTCAATGGTCCTTTGGACCAGATTCTTTCTGCAAGAGGATAATTAGTGTACCAAAGTCAAAGTCAGATCTCTAAAGGACTTGTGCCTGAGATTTTGTTGACTGAAAGTGAAAATTGGGAAATGTCTGAGATTGACAAGTACCGTGGAAGCACCTCAAGAAGCAAGTCGAGCATGCCTGTTTGTGTCACCCACCTACAAATGCAAAAGGCTACTGAAAAGGCCACCAACAGTGAAACACACCTATCTCCACTGGACCAGTGCCCTGTGCCATTGGAAAACTCAACCTACGCCTTGGACAGGATCATCAGGAAGACATCAGAAATTGTTATTTCAATTCAACTCCTGTCAAGTAAGCCCATTTTAAGTTTTGAGGAAGGAATAGAGTTAATGGACAAAGCAGCATTTTGGGTCAGAAATGGGGAAATTAGGGTGAATCTGTTGAATAGCGATAGTGTGCAAAACAAACCTGATCAGTGCTTGATAAGTGAGTGGGAGAAAGCCAAAGCAGAATTAAAGTCCCACAGGGACAAAATAATTTTGCAGCTGAAAGAACCTTCTGTACCTGAAGAAAATTCTGAGCATGAAATTACAGTGACTGAAGCCCCAGCAATTGGGAAAGCTGAATCCTGTGCTAGTTCATCTGGTGAAAAAGAAAGCTCAAAGAATCTAACGGTAACAAGGGTGAGAAAATTGATTTTGGGAAAACTGAAATCATTTAATATTTCTGTGGAAAAAATGAAAGCATTGCCTTCAAATCTGCAAAGGCAAAGATCTCTTTTAAGAACAATTGGCAAGATAAAAGTTTTGCTTGATGATGAGCACTGTCTCAAAGCCATTAAAGAATTAGAAGGAGAGCTTGAAGATTTGATTGTATTTATGGGAGAAGCAAAGGATGAAGTGGATAATGCTTTAGTTTCCCTAGAAAATTTGAATGGTCCTAGAAGTTCCACTCTGGATGCCCCAAACCTTGTTTCAAACATGGCATCATTTATTTCTGTGGTTAAAGATGTGTCTGAAGTAATGCCCCGGGGCCCAATAGTCCAGGAGGCATCAGTGTCCACAAAATCAAATCCTAAAATTCTCCCTTTGAGGAGTTAAAAAGAAGATGTTGGATTAGTGGCAAACTTTACATAAATGGAAAAATTGATGACCAAGTGGTCAATGTTCATGGAAACAGCAGTAGAAATTATGAATAAGGTGCAAAACCCAGAGAAAACCCCTCCTGAAAAGGAGTGGGTGGAACCTGGAAAGAAATTTAATGGGAAAATATTGGAATATACCGCCTGGCAAGATTTCATCTTTCATGCCTACCTGAATAATCCGAAGTGTATGAAAACCAACAAATTTGTGGCAATTGTTGATTTATTAGATGGCTGCCCTTTAGATATGGTGGGACACTTGGAAGGATCAGAAACAGCGGCTATGGGAGCAATGAGAATTTTAGATTGTAGATATGATTCAGTACCTCTGCGAGAGGGTATAATCAGACAGCAATTAAACAGCATGAAACCTCTCAAGTCAGAAGGAGCCAGCAATTGGGAAGATTTTGCAAATCTAGTGGGAATTGCTTTGATTCAATTTTCTAAAGCTCACCCACTTGAGCATTTTGATCACTTATTACAACAACTGCTATCCAAACTCACTCATCAGAGGAGGCTTGAATGGCTGGAAAAGGAAATGGATAATCCATCCACTCACCTTACAGGGATACCAAAATTGGGAAAATTCCATGATTTTATCAGCAGAATTGCTAGCATGCTTATGTTTGCAGAGATGAACCAAGAGGAGGTTTACACCTCAATTGGGGATAAAATCTGTGGAACAAAAAAGAAACCTAGCAGGGAAAATAGATATGCTGTGGTAGAACAAGTGGTAAAACCAGATGTATCTAAGCCAAAGGCACCAGTTGTTGAAAAAGAAGGTGAATGTCCTATGTGTAATGAAAAGCACTGCTTGGACAAATGCGCAATTTTTACCAAAATGGAGCTGAATGCTCGTATGATGAAAGCACATTCTTTACGCATTTGCCTTAATTGTTTGAATAAACATCCATTTAAAAGGTGCCCAGATGCTATGGAATGTCAAATTGAAGAGTCTTGCAAATATTGGCACCACCCCTTGCTACATGGGGCAAAACCATTAAAAAAGCTGTTACCTAAGAAAAAGTCAAAGGACAGTCCAGTGATGACAGCGGTGGAAGTACCCTTCATGAATACTGGCCCTAATGGGCAACCCTTTGGTACTCAGCAAACTTTGAGAATTATTGCTTCAGATGTCAAAGGTACTAAAGGAAAAACCAAATGCGTCCCCGCCTTATTGGATCCAGGATGTGCTAGAACCTCCATCAAGGAAAGCCTGGCACGAGAACTGGGGCTAGTAGCCAAAGCTAATGGTAAAATATTAGTGCAAATTGCAATTGGATTATCCCATAGAGCAGTAGCTAATGTTGATTTCTCCTTCAAAGGAGTTGGTGAAACTAGCTGGTTTTATACCACTGATGCAGCAGCGGTCAAAAATTTGGTAACTCCTGCAGTTAACATGGATTGGAAGAATCATGTCTTAAAACTAAAGAACTTGCAGATGTGAAAATTCATTGTAATGCTAAGGGACCAGCAGAAGTAATAAGTGGAATTGACAATGAAATCTTAATGATGGCCCTTCAGGGCACCACCCGCAGACATGGAAAAGTCTTTGCTTACAAAACTCCACTGGGTTGGACTGTCTCTGGACAGGTCAGTAACCAGAATGGAGAGCCAATGGACTCCATGTCAAATTTTATTACTTCTGAGTGCTCCTTGGAAGGGTCAGCCTTGCTTGAAGAATTTAAGCATTTTAACGCAATTGAAAATGAAGGCTTTAAAACTAACCCAGAAGGACTACACTATGACCAGATCAAAGATCTGAAAGAGGTTGAAAATAAAATGCGCGTTGTGGATGGTCATTTTGAAGTAGGCATGTTGTGGATTGAAAAACCCCAGTTTCCAGAATCAACTAACCAAGCCTTAAAGAAGAGCTGAAACCATCATGTCTCAAAAGCTTAAGCACAATCCTGAATTATTGCTGAAGGTTAGGAAAGGTTTTGAGGATGATATTAAAAAGGGTTACATATCTGAACTGACTACCAAAGAAAAGTTGAAATTCTTTGATTTGAATGACCGCTGGGTTCTGCCATGGATGATAGTCACTCATCCTGACAAACCCCAAAGGGTCTTGGATGCA